CGGGACGCGGCACCGGGCGGGCTTGGCGCGGTCGGCAGTGCCCGGGACACCTGCGAGGAGGCCTCGGCCCTTGGAGGAGGACGAGGGCTGCGGTGCCCGGCGCCGCCCCGGGCCTCCCCGGCCACCAGCGGCCTCCTGCACCTGCTGGATGCCCAGCCCTGCGCTAGCGGCCACGTCCAATCCAGCCTCCTCCCTGCACCGCAGCTCGCTCTGCTGGGTGGCTTCTCTGGAGGGAAACAAGCAGCAGGGAAAGGCTGCTGTTGCCTCCTTGCTTAAAGGCACATGTGGCTGTGAGCGTGGGTGTTTTGAAGCCTTCCCCCAACAACTGGGGTGTCGTGCATTGGTGGGCTAGATGAATGTTAGTTTTGGTGCTTCTTACCTCCTTGTACATGAGAGGGAAGCGTGTTGGTGGCTTCTGTGTGTTCTTTCTCTTCCAATTCTTGAAACTGTCAATGTCTTGAGTCCAGCTACTAGTAGCTTTATGTTACTATCTAATCTGTGACTCCTGCAATAAAGGGTAGGAATAAGAAGTTGGATGTGACTGTTGTAACTGGGTGCTGCATAAAGCAAAATCTGCACACCAAGCGCAGTAGGGGCCTTTTCCCTGATATGCTCTGCAGTTCCCGTAAACCGCAAGCTCACCTTCACGTTACCAGATGAAGCAATGACTGTGTGATGGGAATCATATCAGTGCTCCTTTTGTGATGGACTCTTCCTTGTTTTTAATCTGTTATGAGCCTGAATGATTTTAATTTAGATACTCATAACTGCAGCTATTTTTGGTTGCCTGTCTAAGTTTACATAAAACTGTCTGTCTTGTAATAATGGCTAACAATGCAGAATCTTCCAAGATTATCCATGTATTTTTTTTTTTTTTTTTGGCCACAACTGTGTGATAGGAAACTTGGTTCTATAGAGCCTGTGAGACAGGGTGGCTGTGGAGGACTTGGGACTTCACCTTCCTTAAGGGCTTAGGATCCTAAACACAATGCAGCTTCTTTATCATATGTTCCTTGGAGATCTGCTGCATTGATGCCTCAGTACTGCTTGGTTTTGCTTCAGGTCTTCCCAACCTGTTCTTATCCTTCTCTTCTGTCTTGCCCTTTCCCCCTGTTGCTGCTGTGCCCATGGTGGTCTTGTAGACACGGAGAGAAGGCGGACAGAAGAGAGGGCCATGCTATGCAGAGCTGTGTGTGACGTTATAGTTGCAACAGAGGTGGCAATTTTGATAGATGAATATGCCTAGATTTATGAAAGGCTTGTGGCATGGGCATAATATTCAGTGTGATGTCAGGACCTTCTCTGATGTGGTACGAGGACACTATGTATCCTACCCAGAGTCTCAGACGTGATCTCCTGAACTCTAGAAGATAGACTTTTTTATTTTTTTCTATATTGCTGTCATAGCAAAACTCCCAGTTTTTAGTGCTTTTATCTAACTTTTCTACCTAATTGGACATGCTTTACAACACTTAAAATGTTGGATGCTGCTATCCTGGGATTTTACTACCTCTTTCAGGCAATGCTTTAATATATTATGTTGGAGATAAGCTTTCAAAGGGCCATTTATAGTCTTAAGAAGAGCTTCTTTTGTTAAAGAAATACAGAAGTTGTTTCACTACAGCTGTCCAGAGGTTATTCCAGTTATTGCTATCACTGTGCAAATACTTAAATTTGCATGAGTCACAGGAAGTGCATACTTTTGGATACATGGAAGAAAACGTGCTATATTCTGGACAGGTGTCATGGAACAAATCTGCTACAAGATTCCCATAACCTCACACATTTTGTACAGGTAGTTAAGATTTTCCAGTGTGCAGCTTTTTTTTTTTTTTTTTTTTCTTTCTTTTTTTTTTTTTTTAAGCAGGAAAGGCACAGCTGTATTCTGCTTGTGAGAACACAGAACCTCTTTATCTGGTGGTGAATGGGTGGTACCTCTGTGTCAGAGTTAACGTAGGTGTAGATGTACAATCTGTTGTAGTCTCCTATATATGTCCTTTTAACTCCTTTACTCCGTTGCATCAATTACTTTGGAGGAACCTAGTATTTCTCTGTTTAAAGTCTGCTTCTTAAGTTCCCCGGGATTCCTTTTTCTTCACTCTAATGTTAAACCAAAATAATCCTACTCAGTTCACCTAAAAAGTGAAATTTTAGCAAGGTTCTCTGTGCCGTAATTCCTCTACTAATGTTTTAGATGAACAGTGCTGTTTTTGGTCTCATATTGTGCTTATTTTTTTTTAGTACTGAAGCAAGGAAAGCAAGGAAAGTGTTTTATGGTGAAATGTTTTTAGTGAACACTAGACTCCTTGTTTCCCAGATGCTCAGTTCAAGTACACCCTCTTTGCAGCTAGCAGCCTGCCTAAAACCATTTTGGTCAGAGCCTTCTTGTCAGTCCCGCCTATCAACTTTGACTCCTAGTATTCTTTCAGAGCTGCTCCATCAGTGTGAGTGGGATTTCAGTGAAGAGTGGTGTGTGGGTTTTTTTTTTTTTTTTTTTTTTTTCCTCTCCTCTCTCCAGAAGTTTAAAGTTGCTTCTGGTTGTCTTATTCAAAAGACTCTTATTACTGTTATTAATGAGCTCTTTTGCAGTTTAAACTTAACATATTGCATCTATCTTCTAGGTGCTGAAGAGAGAAACTTGAAACTTAATCATGTCTGACAACAGTACACTGATGTCTGAAACTGGGAGGAGTCTCTTGGCTGATTCTTCTGTTCTAGATTCAAAAATTATAGAGAACTCAAAAGAGAATGTATTTCCTGCACCTGTTTCAGATGTTGAAGGTAATGGGAGAAGTCAATTTTAACGGTATCATATTTTTACAGTGACTCTATAGATATTTCAGCTTTCCAAAGCTACTGAAGTGATTTTTTTTTTAAACCACAGATTGTAAATAGAGCTCAAGTATTTCTACTACCTGTAATGCATTAGAATCACAGAATCATTGTGGTTGGACAAGACCACAGGATCTTCAAATCCAACTGTAAACCCATCACCACCATGGCTGCTAAACCATGTCCTTAAGTGTCTCATCTACGTGTTTATTGAATGCTGCCAGGGATGGTGACTGCAGCATTATCCTGGGCAGCCTGTTCCAAAAATTCCATGGCTCTTTTCTGGAACGCATGCCATGGAGGCAGCACTTGTTCCTTCCTTTGCAGACTTTTGAAAGCTATATAAATAAAGGGAGAAAAAGTATTTCCACTTCACTTCTAAAAGTTGTGCTGATTGATTAGTATGCTTAAATAAAAGGACAGGCTTCTTAAGCAAATGCTTGATGCTTAAATAAAAGGACAGGCTTGTGAAGCAAATGCTTGTTTTTAAAAGATGCCCCTTGTTCCTGATTTAAAGGGAAAATACACTTTTGAATTTTTGCTTGATTTACATCTAAAATGCTTTTTTCTTTAATTTTTTTTTTTTCTAAACAGAAGAAATGCCTCAGATAGAAACAAGAGTGATTCTGGTTCAGGAAGCAGGGAAACGTGAAGAGCTTCTGAAAGCTTTGGAGGTATGTAGGTCTAAGATTTTTTTTAAAAAAATCACTATAATAAGATAGAGTTCTAGACTCTCCTGGTAACTTGCTGAATTTGTACTAAAGTTCTCCTCTTCCACAGACCATAAAGATAATGGAAGTTCCAGTTATAAAGATAAAGAAAACTAGTCCTGATAAATCAGAAGAAAAACTAATAAAAAGTATTATTCATATGGTATGTCATGCAATTAAGCACACGTGATTGCATGCAGCATGTTGCACTTCACTGGGACTGAAATGTGCAGATATGTTGATTTTTCTATTAACGGGGTGTAGTGGTCACAAAATAAGCTAATGTGTCTGATGGTGTCATTTGAAGCTCACCTCAAAATTTGCATTCTGTCTTTTTATTAAATACTCAACTGTGGGGTTAGTATCTTCAGCTCTTAATTAGCAGTGTTTTCTAGCAAGGGGATAGACAGATCAAAGGAGGCATTCAAATGCATGCTTATATTAAATCAACACTTTCATTAGTTTTTGCTATGAACGGGCTTCTTAATTGGTTAATTGACCTCTATTTCAGCTGAGAACTGCATCTGAAATTAAATGTGAGAAGTGGTTATCTGTTTCTTGATGTGAAAAACCTAGAAAATGAAATTTCTAAGTAAACATTGAAATTGGAACAGACCAAACTTTATTTTTAAGCCCTTTTGAAATATCAGGAATAAATGACTTCTGTATTTTAGGTCTTACGCAGTATTAAACTTGCTTCTGCTAGCATTTTGTGTTAAGCTGTAGTTGATAGCAGTATCCAGGAGTACCTTAAGCTGTTCTAACAACCTAGAGGGAGAAATTTCATTAAGCAGGTGTGCTTACTTAAGGTTCTCCCTCAACCTCAGTATATGGATTTTTGCCAGTACTATATTGCCAATGTGAACTGATATTTAACTACTGAAACTACTACAATTCTTGTCTTCCAAAAATAATTCTAAGTTTTTTTTTAAAGTACTGTTCATAGCTATTCTTATAGTAAGGAATGATTCCAACCATTATGATTCTATAACTCATCTAGCTTTGACAAATACATCTTATGAGTCTGTCAGTGAAATCTTAACTGTCTTTGCAGTTACCTTTTTTCTTTGCTTCCCCGTCCCCCCGCCTTTAATGGCCCAAAAGATCAAGAGAGTTAAATGCGATCCTAATGTAAGTATGTTGCTTGAACGTTGCTTCTCTTTCTTTTCCAACCTCTAAATCAAGGAAATTAAAATGCCCTACATAAAGATGGACTCAATAGAAGAACTTGGAGATTCTGATTCCCCAGAGTTTGAGACGGTGTTTGTTGTAGCAGACTTCCAAGATTCTGTGTTTAGCAACCTCTACAAAGCAGATTGCCGTGTTGTTGGACCTCCAGTAGTACTGCACTGTGCACAGAAAGGAGAGGTATGTGCTTTTGGTCAAATCAGCTGAGGAGTTCTCTCATACAACGAGTTTGAAAATATTCCAAACAAAATCTTTGTGTGCCTTGCTTTGCCACCCATGCGTGTGAAGAAGATTCTTTTGGGAAGGTAATTTTGAGGAAAGCAGATTTCTAATATCATTTTATAGTGTTGTGCTGAAGTAGTGAGTGAAAAAGGCCAGGTAGACAGTGGTAAGACTGTACAATAAGACAGCGCTGTTACTACAGTAGTTGTGAAAGTTATTGACCCCCAAAGTTGGGATTATGCCATTATGGAAGGCAGCATGGTCTAGCAGACAGTTTGTATTTCCAAAGGCCAGTGCTTAGAAGGAAGTAGGTTGGGGAAGAAAAGGATGTAGCACTGCACTTGGGAAATGATGTTGTTCTAGTTACTTTATCAGAATTTGGAAAGTCTGAAGCTGAAGTGCAAACTGAGTACAGACTTGAACTAGTCTATAATACATTTTCATACTAGAAACAATAGGGTTATTGTATTAGAGATGCTAAAACTCTACTGGAAACTGCAGGCTTTTTGCTAATAAACCAACTACTTTTGTTTCAGCCTTTACCTTTCTCATGTCGTCCACTGTACTGTGCAAGTATGTTGAACTTGGTACTGTGCTTTACGGGATTCAGAAAGAAAGATGAATTAGTAAGATTTTTCTTTTTTCTTTTGTTGTTTTTGGATTGGTAAAACTGTTTAACTTGCTTTTAAAATAATTCCCAGTTCTACACTAGGTGTAGCGTGTTACTATGACTAAGGTGCTATGAAGGAATGAGTTGCATCTTCGTTGTTTTGTTTTACTCCAAAATGTGATATCCAATGAGAACGGAACTGTTTCTTTATCCGGGTCTTGTGATATGGCTTTTGAATGTCCTTAAAATTCATCAATTGGTGCTTAATTTTCATATTAGACACCTGTGAATTGATAATATGGTTCTACACTTTAGTCTGGACAAGATGAATGAAAACTCCACCTAGTATTAGGACTGGTAGTTAAGTTTGATCAGCTGGATTTAAGCTGGACAGGTTGTTTAATTTTTATTTAAAATCTTGGCAATTATCGTTTTGGGTACGGTTGGCCATATTAGTGATGGATAACATTGCACTCCTTTCTAATGTGTGAAATGTGATCTAAATGTGATTCTGATGTGATCATTATGTATGATGATCATGAGAATGGTGGTGACTTGGGTAGTCTTCCTCAAGTTCTACAAAATCTTCAGAAAAGAGTCAACAGATCTTCTGATGTACCAGCTCTATCTTCTCAACAATTTGTTTTAACTCCATAACAAAAGTGCAACACTTCACCCTAGTCATTTAGTGTAACCTCCTTTAAGTGACACTGTAAATGATCCTTATACTTTTATTCTGTACCATATTCAAAAGGTGTACTGAAAAAATTTCACCTTTTAATTTTCAGGTTAAACTAGTGACCTTGGTTCATCATATGGGTGGAATTATTCGAAGAGACTTTAGCTCAAAGGTTACACATCTGGTGGCTAACACAACGCAAGGAGACAAATTCAGAGTATGTAAGCTCAACTGAATTGAGTTTTGGTTTTGCTTTTTTGTAAGTAGTGAAGGATATTGGGCTAACTGCACTTCTGACTAAATGTTGAAATAGCTATTGATAATCTTGGTCACTGAAGAGTTAACATTCTAACCATGAACTGTAAAAGCACTGTCAAACTATTCCTTAGAGACAATGTTTGTTTCTTGCAGTATTTGTCTTGAGAAGTAGATGGAAATTATGATTTTTTTCTTCTTGATATGGAAGAGATTTAAATGGACATTTCACTTGTTACAGCTTCTACTTCCCTATTTTTTTAGATTGCTGTGAGTCTGGGTACTCCAATCATGAAAGCTGATTGGATTTATAAAGCTTGGGAGAAAAGAAATGAAATGTAAGTGTCTACGTTCCCTCCCCCAAACTAACACACTGTTTGTTAGTGGTGTGTAAACTTAAATAGTGACATACTACTGTTTTTGTGCATCTCTTTGTGCATCTCTTTTTTCAGTGATTTCTGTGCGGCTGATGATGACTTTAGAAATCAATTCAAGGTTCCTCCCTTTCAGGACTGCATGTTAAGTTTCCTTGGATTCTCTGATGAAGAGAAAGCTAGCATGGAAGAAATGACAGAAATGCAAGGTTACTGTTTTTGAATGGCATTATATATGATAAATTTTTCCCTAGTACAAATATTTTATTGACTAAAATGGTAAAATGGTGGATTGTGAATCCTTAAGTTCCTGTAAATAATAAAGACTTTAAACTTCCAAGTCTGGATGAAACTATACAATTTTAAAAAGAAATGATTTCAGGATTTTTGAAGTTATCCTGAAAAATATGCTGTGTGCCACACTTCCTGCTTACATTTTCATCAGTTTAATGTCAGATAGGTTCGCACGTGCTTTTCGTGAATTGTACAGTGTTTTAGTCTTGATATGAAACTTCACGGGTAAGCGAGTCTCTAGAAGATTTTTCATATTTTGGTAGTGTTTGTGCAAAGAATCTTACTGACAGTAGAAATCCAACAGATCACAGACAGTGTCCGCTCCCTTATTTCTAAAAAGCATCAATCAAACTACAGAAATGGGAGTAATGCAAGCTTGTAATGGTAAGACTTCCTCAAAACAGATGAAAGTTGGTTGGTTTTGCTCTTCTTTCTGACATCTTGTACCTAAAGCTACTTATAAGCTTCTGATGTATGCAGGTTGTATGTGTCTAGCTTGTGGACTTGAGAGTGACTGTTCCTGGCTTGCTCTTCTAAGAAACGTGAAAAACTATTCAGACAAATGCTGCATTTACCAGTAGAGAGGTTTTAAAGCCCTCTGAACTCCAGATTCTCTTGGCTTTTCAGTGTGTATCTCACTGTTTCATGCTATGTCCAACTTATTACTGGCAGTAGACAGCTTTTATGATCAGGGGCGTAATGTAAGATCAGGGGTGTAATGTAAGCTCAGCAACTGAGTGTTGCACTAAAGAGTTTATCTGTCTTTGATTATCTGTCTTTATCTGTCTTTTGTCTACTGATGCTAGGTGTCACAGAACTATTAAGTAAGCCACTGATTTCTAAATGTAATCTTCTGAAGTTCTACCAATTCATCTTGTTTCCTTTATCTAGGAGGACATTATTTGCCAGTTGGTGATGACCGGTGCACACACTTAGTGGTTGAAGAAAATTCAGTAAAAGACCTTCCATTTGAACCTTTAAAAAGTCTTTATGTTGTAAAGCAAGAGGTAAGTACTAATAAATTCTTAAAAGAATATTTTCTTATGCTAACCAATATGTAAGACAAATTTACCTTTTTTTAACCCACACGTTTACATATGGATATACAAGCTATCTTAATTTAAATTATGTTGTTTAGAATATTCTTAAGTTCATATGAACCCCTATAACATGTTGGGCTTGTTTTCTTCCTTCTTCAGTGGTTCTGGGGAAGCATTCAAATGGATGCCAGAGCTGGAGAGTCCATGTATTTATTTGAAAAGGTATGTTGAGCGCTCTCATGCCTTAAGTAGTATGTAAAATTAGCATTTGCAATAAGAGTCAGATTTAATTTCTTAAAGCAACATTTAAATTCCAGATAAGCCATTATAAATTTTACAACTAACATATGAATGTGAAGAATACAAATGACCTGTCTGTCTGCTCTTGCCATAGCAACTAGTATGTGGTTCTTATGCTTGCTGTGTGAAATTTGTCAACAGTGGAAAACCTTTTCCGGCTTCCTAAAGATCAAACTTATTATTGAAGCGAAATACTAGTGTGGCTTCTAATAAAAGTAAGGGCTTTGTCTGGATTCCATAAACTTCCCTAATAAGAATGTTATGTACTCATCTCTCAAACTAGCTTATCGTCATTGCACTGAATTGAACTGGAAACAGCAGGTAACAATTAAAAAATATATAACTTTTTTCTTCTTTTATTGCAGTCGGAGAGTCCAGGCCTCAAAAAGTCTGTGTCGCTACTTTCTCTGAATACTCCAACCAGCAACCGTAAAAGAAGGCGCTTGAAAGAGACGCTTGCCCAGCTGACCAGGGAAACAGACATGTCGCCGTTCCCGCCTCGGAAGCGCCCCTCAGCCGAACATTCGCTCTCTATTGGGTCCCTGCTGGATATTTCGAACACTCCAGAGTCAAGCACTACCAACGGAGGTAGAGCTAAAACCTTCACTCAGACATTTGCCGTGATTAAGAGCTTGCTGCCAAGTTGTGCAAGTCATAGTGATGGTGGGGGAAGTCTGACAGGTTCTGGTACAGGTTCCTGAGTAATTCCAGACTTTCTCCTCTTCAAAGTGTACAGAAAGCAGAATAAGAGTGAGTGAGGAATTCAGTCACTGTCAGAGGCCATGCTGCCTCCTGTCCTCGTCATAGGCATACTCAAATCTGAAAGAAAATAAGGAAATCATTTGCAAGTAATAAATAGAATGCACAGGGCAGTGTTACTTGGGAGCGCTTGGAATACTCTGCTGAAAATCTGCAGCAAACAAGCAGTGTAGTTAACTAAGCCATCCAAAACCCCCTCTTGTAAAATACTTGGGAAAAAGGAGAACTAAAATACTCGGAGAAACGAGAACCAAGGATCCTTTCCTAAAGGAACTAAAGAGAAAATTCCTGCAAAGCCCACTTCTTCTGGACCTTTGAAATGTTCTGTTGAGGTAACACTATTTATGCCAACAAACTGCGTTATGTTTAAAAGTTCACAAGAATATAAATCACCATCTTGTTTTGACTGGTTAATTGGCAAAGAGTTTTTAATGTTTTTGTGCGTGTCTCATAGACAAGAGATCTGCAAGATCAGGGATTAGTCAAAAGCTAGTACCTGAGGTTTTAAAACAAGTCCCAGTTCCATCATTGAGAGTTGCTACTGGTAGAAAACTGTATACAGCTCAAATAACTTATCTCGATGAGGCACAGTCTGTAAATGGTGATTCAGAAGGAATGCAGTAAGGATCAGCCTATTCTCAGAGACAAGCATTATAACTAGCATTATCTAAGGATAATGTTAATACTCCTGTGTCCCCTGACACAAGTTTCTGCTAATCCAATATCAGCAGGCAGTTTCAGAAAGATTGCTATTTTGAAAACAACAGGTAAGGTACTCATTTCAGACTAAGTGTGATAGTAGTGAACTTTCTTCAAAGTTCTCTGCTATCAAATACACATATAAGTATTAAAATCTGAGCAGCCCAGATCCTCATCAACTTTAGCTCTAGGAGAAAATGACGCGTGTCTCTTTTTCCTAATAAGGTAAAACACAATAAATTTGAAAGGAAAGATGAATTATAACAAATGGCTTTCAGCTGCATATTTAATACAACGGGAGTGAGAGATGAAAGACAATTGCTTACATGGCAAATGGAAAATCTATATATGTCATATGTACAAATAATATTTAACATCTATCTCAGTTTCTGTGTAAAAGAAGGTTAAGTCATTGCAGAAACAAAAAATGGTCTACCAACTTAAGATTAATTTTAAAGAATAATGCATGATTGTTGCAATTCTACAATAGGGCTTTATTAAAATATTTCTCTAAAGACTGCTATAATCTGCAGAGTAACTTATGGAACAGCCTTAGTAAAGATGATGTCTTTCCCTGAGAACTTTGAAGGTTTCTATCTTTAAGGGTGAGCTTTATAGGAGTTATATTGTAATAGAGATTTTTTTTTTGCTATATCTCCTCTTAAGAAACGCCAAAATCCTGTCCAAGGCCTTCTAAAAACTCAACGCCTCTGCCATTGAAGCAGTCTGCAAGATGGCAGGTTGCGAAGGAATTATATCAGACAGAAAGTAACTACGTTGATATTCTAACAACAATCATTGAGGTAAGCTGGTTTTAAAGCAGATACAGTCTGTGGTTGTAACAAGACATCAAGTGTTTTAGATCAGTGGGTATTTTTATTCCTTCCCTCACCTGTGATCTCTCCCCAACCTATGATCTTCAGCTTTTCGAGGGTTTGAGTATTTCAAAGCTCCATAAAAGACTACAGTGAAAGTAAGTCTTGTCAGTAAAATGGCATGCTAAAAGTGCTTATTAAATCATAAAGGCTGAATTTATGTAGTGGAACTTGTAGTTGATATGAAAATACCAAACTTCACAAAAATAGTATCTTCATTTTTTAAAACTGACTCCAAGAAGATCAGAATAGCAAAAAGCTTAGATGAATAGCTCCAGCTTCTATCACAAACTCATTTGCACTGCAGTTCATCAGATACCTAGAGAATGAGTTACAATGTGTGTGAGTAGAAAAAGAGATGAAAGGAAGTTATGCTGGAGTAACAGAGTGCTTGTATCTTAAAATCCCACCTCATAACAGTCTTGCTGAGAGGATGCAGAATGCCTCAAGATTATGCAGAAAAGTGTGATTTGCAGGAAAAATGCTGCTTTCACAGTTATTTCTAATCCAGTAAGGGGAGGATGGGAGGGAGAAGAAAAACTAGTAAACAACAGTCTCATTCTTTTTTCTTTCCCCCTTCTATCCTCTAATTCATCAGTTGTTTCAAGTACCACTGGAAAAGGAAGGACAACTTGGAGGACCAATCCTTGCACCGGAAGAGATCAAGACCATATTTGGCAGCATACCAGATATTCTTGATGTTCACATTAAAATCAAGGCAAGCTTTTTCTGTAACCTCTCAGTAGGGAAACTTTTGACACTGACTGAGATTGTCTGTATAATTTAAGTCATATTTGCTAGGTGGAATTTAAAAAGTCTGTGTGGTTGTTTGTTTGTTTGTTTTCCACCTAGTATGAAAAACTCGCCCTTTGTTTTGAAGAACGGTGGAATTTAAAAAGTCTGTGTGGTTGGTTGGTTGTTTGTTTTTTTTCCACCTGCTATGAAAAACTTGCCTTTTCTTTTAAAGAATTTTGAGCCAGTTATCAAAAATAAGCAGTTCCTTAAAACTGCCTTAGGTTTCTACTGCTAAAGACAACCTGGTACTGAAGTCTCCAAAGTGCTGACTAGAATTCTGTATCAGATTGTATTTTTAAGTTCTCATAACATTCTTTCTGTTAACATATTTTTTGATTTGGATTGTAAGCTCTCTACACAAGAAACCATCACTAGGTCTGTCAGCAGACTGTTGCAGGCGTTCATCAAATATGAAGTCATAAAATCTCTGTTAAATATTAGCATATATCTGTTCTTGTCTGCACTTAACGCTAGGCCCTTAAAATAAATGGGCTTGTGGTCTGATGTTTGCAATTCTGTGTGGTGTGTGTGTGTATGTGGGTCAGGGGGAGGTTGTGTGTTTTTTAATTCTTGGGGATGTGTCTAGTTAATCACCGTTAGAGATAAGGAGAGGAAAGAGGAGCATGTTTGCTTGTGTGACAACTAGGATGCTGCACAGCATGCAGGGTAGACAAAGTTGCTTGGATGTGGTCATCTGTTTTCCTTCCTTCTCAGTGTGATTAAGATAAAGAGGATAGATGGTGGAAACAAACCAATGTTAATGACAGCTTCCCTTCACTTAAGGTGAATCCTGAACTCCAGTTGTGCCCTTGTGGCTCTGTTATAAGCTGACAGTGAATAAGCTTGTATCAGCTTGATAAGGATAAAGCTTAACAGCTTGATCTCACTTTCCTTGACACCCTGGTGCAGCAAGTGAGGAAATGCTAGTTCTGCTTCAATTCTGTTTAGGACTTGAAATCCTATACTAGTTTTACACTTTTCTAATTGCAATGAATTCAACTCTGCGTAGCCTTCTTTTTAATTCCCCTTGGGATGTGTTCAGTAGTTTAGTGGACCCTGCTGTTGTCTTGTAGCAGATTCGGCTAGTGCTGGCACGTTGCTGCACTCTGCTTACATTGCTTCAAAGCTTTGTGTTTGGTTTGATGGAGGTCTCTTGTCATCAGCCTATGAGGCTTAATCTGAATTTGTTTAGATTTTAGGATAGCCGGTTTTATTATCTGTATGTTTCCATGAGAACTCTCTAATTGGTGAAACACACATTCTAGCAAGGTTAAGATATGCAGCAAAGGGACCAGTGTGAGAGATCTATAATGCTGGGATATTTTTATTCCTGTTATTATTTTAACTCCACATATGCTAACAAAGCACTTTTTGGTTCTCTGACAGCAGAGTTAAATTATTCAATAAAAATTGCTTTACATTCCTTATTTATAGTGCTCCTCACAACAGTATCCTATAGATAAATATCTTCTGTGTTCTCACAGTTAGTCTAGTTTCTGCTTCTGGTGTGTGTTATTCTTCTAAACTAGTTCTGCATGTTCTTATCTCCTTTCTCCACTCTGGCTATAACTTAAATGTTATTTTGAGTTAGAACTACGGAAGAAACTTAGAGGTCTGGTCAAGAGGACTTGACAAACAGTCAGTTGGATATATTGCTTAAGAGTAGTAAATGTCTACTTGCTAAGCAAAGTGTAGTGGTTGGAATGACATGTAAACCATCCCCTAGTACATAACTGTTATGTATAGAGACCCGTGATGGCTGCTTTGGTTGGATGGCTCATTTTCTTACCCTACTCCTGCATATATTTTAGGAAGACCTGGAAGATCTTATGATGAATTGGACTGAAAGCAGAAGTATTGGTGATATCATTCTCAAATATGTAAGTTTCTGCTTCTCACTTTATAGCTCTGTTATCACAGAATCACACAGAATGGTTAAGGTTGGAAGAGACCTCAAACTATTGTCTTAAATAACCTCTTTGTATTTGATTTGGCAAACCCAAATAAAGCATTGCTGAATGAGAAAGAAGTGTATTAGTCTATCTAATGGTATCTTCTGTTTAGAATTATTAGCTCTAAATTGGATGATACACTTGTCTTACTGAGGTAATCCAAGCTTACACAATCCAGCTGAAATGTGTATACCTTGTGATAGGTATAGAACCTTAGCTACCTTTTGCTTCTGATCAGTTGTGAAGAAGGAAGAATGCAAGGGATTCCTGTGAAATTCCAAGTGTTGACATATAAAAGTGCATAAGGACTCTGTTTCCCACAGTACAGAGTGTGCAGAATGGAGAGGCTAGTTCTGGGACTGCAATGCATTTTAAGATATGTCTGCTAGACATCTTGTGCTTTCACAGACTTGATCATATTGGGACAAACAGTGCTGCAGTTTCTGAAGCTCTTGATCTTAAGCACTGCTTGTGATAGTCTATAATGATCCAAAGATGATAGTATGCCATAGGGAAAATATCTGTATGCAGTTTCCCAAATTCTTGCCAAAAATATCTTGCTAGGTGATGATGTGCCTTTTTCTTAAGAGGTGTTGAGCAATTTTTGTCACATCATAAGTACTTGACTTTTTCTTCAGAGCTGGCTGTCTTTAATCAACAGCATTAAGTCTTGGGCATCTGGCATGCAAAAAATATCTAACTTTGATTTTAAGCTTGCATTTATTACTTTTTTATTAAGCTATGCCTGAGTAGCATTGTACATATACTCATATGATCAAAGCTACATGATATGTAAAGCAGAGTCATAACAGTTGCTTTTCTTTCAGTCAAAAGACTTGTTGAAAACATACCCTCCATTTGTGAATTTCTTTGAAATGAGCAAGGAAACTATTACAAGATGTGAAAAACAGAAGCCAAGATTTCATGCCTTCCTCAAGGTAAATGTCTGCAAAAGTTTCCCTCCCTGCCCACAGCTTCCACACAATTATACTAATGAGAATTATTTCCGTTCTCCTCTTTTCCTACAGATAAATCAAGCTAAACCAGAATGTGGCCGTCAAAGCTTAGCTGAACTCCTTATCCGTCCTGTTCAGAGGCTGCCTAGTGTTGCTCTGCTTCTAAATGGTAATCTAATGATATTGTGTAATTTTTGTATTAGTCTGTCTATGAAGATGCTAAAACTAAGCAAATGGCTGCTTTTGTTTTAGGTAGGAAAAGCTATTCCTAATTACAAGAAGTCTGATGCTGAGTGTTAATAGTACTTTAAGTCTGAAATTGTGTTAACTTTAAAGCAAACTGTCGTCTTTTTTTTCTTATTTCTCTATATTCTCAAGACCATTAGTTTTTAAGGATCTGGAAACTTATACTATTCTTCTTTAAATCATAGATATTAAGAAGCATACAGCAGAAGAAAACCCAGACAAAGTAACTCTAGAGAGAGCTATTGAATCATTAAAGGAAGTGATGACGTAAGTGATATTCTAAGAAACATACTGCCGTGTATAGTTCTTTCTGTATTGCTTTAACTTGGAGCATATTGTTGCTGTACACTTAGTCTGCATGCAGGTATACATAATTGCATGTGTTCTTCAGAGTATGGTGACTGATATTTTTGCAGAATTTCCCTGCAGAAGAATGGGTGAAGGGGGAACAGAATATGAAGAGTTTAAGCTACATCTCTGCTTTGCCAGATGTCTCCCTCTTGCTGCTGTCATGCTCATTACGTAGCAAAGCTTTTGAAAGGAGTCTGTGGCTTTGTTATCCAGTACTTCTACCTGAACAACTGCTCACTTCCTGCCTCAGTGTGATGTTGACTTGAGTTTTCTCTGTTCTGTTCCAATAGTAATTACAACTTCCATAGTGGAAGAAATGTTTTCATCTCAGTGGAAGCATGTATATACCTCAAGATTTAAAGGATGCACTACTGTTAAAAATTTTGTCTTAGCTGCTCCTGGCATCAATCCACCAGTTAAATAGCTTGAGTCTTAAGCTAATTAGATACATTACACTTCAGAAGTGAGATTTATGCCTCCATCAGTGAGACACCCTTTGCTGTTTGGCAAATGGTGGTTTAATTTTAACAAAACCGTTTCTTTTTCTATATAGCAGTTATGCTTGCACTTGTTCCTTGAGCTCGTGAGTTGTAGCCCTGGCTTGGGGAAAACTACAAGATGTAAAGAATTGTATTGAACGGGTTCCAGGATCATAATCTATGTGTTTAAAAATATATATGTATATACCAAATAATATATTAGCTACTGGTATCATGCACAAGAGTTATTCTAGACCTGAAGTCTCCTATATACTTAGCATATAGTGTTTGAGCATTTATTTCTAAATGATCAAGCAAGTTTGATTTTTGCATTTTCTATTATTGCTGAATGAATATATTTCTTAATGCTTAATTTCATTATTTTATGCATCCTAAATACAATACGTTCATTAGCGTTGCTTGGTACTGAAAATAAACAATATGTTTCCTTCAGACACATTAATGAAGACAAAAGGAAAACTGAAGCACAAAGGCAGATCTTTGATGTTGTCTATGAAGTTGATGGATGTCCAGTAAGTAAATTCTCTGAAGCTGTAGAACTATGAAAATGAGTGGTAGTTTGTTCCCTTTGTGGAAGTACTTAGGTTAAAATGCAATGGTACTGTTCAGTTGCAAGTGATAATCCAGCCCTTGAATTAAATGCTTAATGAGCTCTCTGCTCCTATCTTACAGGCCAATCTCCTGTCCTCTCACCGAAGCTTAGTTCAGCGTTTGGAAACTGTTGCACTTGGTGATGATCTCTGTGACAAGGGAGAGCAGGTCACACTCTTCCTGTTTAATGATTGTCTAGAGGTAAGATTATTGTGTAAGTGCATCTTGTGAATTGAATTGCAAAATGCTTGATGCTAAACACTATAAACAAGTAAAATCTAGAAGCATTGTGAAGCATAATTAAGTCAGGACGATGCATGCTGATGGTACTTCTATATCGTATAAGACAACATGAGGACCTAGTCAGTTCTCTGTGGTTGTCTTGCAGCAAGATCAAAAAAGTTAATATTGAAAGGCAATGAAAGTCATTCCTTTATAGAAAAGAGAATTAATATTGCTTCCTGGAAATAAGGCTTGTAGTTCTAATATGTTGGCGTCATAGGTGACTGATGCTTGTCTTGATGATCACTAAACTTTTTTCCATAGATAAATGCAAGAATATTTCTGCACTGTGTGCTTTTGCGCATTCCCCTCTGAACAATTCTACATACAGATATGTAGATATGTACCATGGATACCTGGAAATTGTATATCTGTACTTTCTTGCTCTAAATAGAGTAGATTATTCACAAAATGTTAAACTGCTTATCTGAATTACACTTTGAATGCCGCTGGTGGATAAAAGTGTGTTGTAATCCCTGCCTCAGCAGCATGTTAGTCCTTTTAAGGTTATTTGTACTTAAATATAAAATACCCAAATATGAGCAAGACCAGCAACAAAAAAAGGAGAAAAAAAAAAAAAAGTAAAACCCATACATACAAATATGGCATGACGCCTGGTTGTGATTGATCCAATCTTCCCTGCTGCAGAGGTCTATGTTAGAATTCTCTCCTTCAAGTTAGTTACTGAGATTGCAATGCCATTATAAAAGAAAACAGTTTAATTTGCTGTTGCAGCATACTGTTCAAAGAGTATTGTTTTAAAATAGCTATTTTGTATGTAACAAAAAGACAAAAAGAAATTCAGAGCGGGTCTGCTCTGTGAATTGGCTCAACTTCATCCTATGCTTATCTTTTGGCAAGCCTAGGGTCATCATCTCTTGATGCTTGTTCTGAATTTCTCTGGAACATCATGCTCTCTGCTGTAGGTTATGCAACTGTCACATGTCCTTCCTGAATAGGATTACTGTGCTTCTGTTGGTACATGATATGTGTTGGTTAAAGCCTGCAGTAATTCCTGCACAGAAAAACACATGCTGTTTTCTGTAGTAAAAGGAGCGTATGCTTGGACAACAGCAAGTGGTTCTTCGGGGATACAACACAGCCAGAATAGGTTCATGCACATAGATGTTCTTGTCTGTTTAAATCTAGGATGCCTTGTGGAAGGATTCCCTTGTTCTGCAGGGTGGAATTGAGGTTTACAATGCAAAATTGCTCTGCCTCTGACTCTTTTCAGAGGTGAGGGTGTTAATGCTAAGTAGCCAGTATTGTTGGGCTACCTGAAGACTTAGATGAAGATCCACGATCCATGAAGATTTATGTGATAGGGTAATTGTAACCTCTTCAGAGTATTTTTCCCACATATAAGAAACATAGAAGGGAAACAAGGCATTAGCAATACACCTTTTATCTTTAATCTCTTATTGTCTTCTGCTTAATTGCAGATTGCAAGGAAACGGCATAAAGTTATTGGTGCTTTCAAGAGTCCCCATGGTCACACCAGGCCTCCTGCATGTCTCAAGCATGTTGTTCTCATGCCTCTCTCCCAGATCAAGAAGGTGCTAGACATCAGGGAAACGGAAGGTTTGTATGTTTTGAAGTACCTCGATAGTAACTGAGAACTGGTTTAGAGTATGAAGGATGAAGGCTGGCTGTCATGGGAGAGAATGCTAAGCTTTAGTTGTATTTTATGTGTGTGAAGTGTTTTTTCGCTTTGCTCTTGTTACAGTATAATATTTAATTTTGCTTTGAGGCTTATGTGATTGGAAACCCAGTTGCAGAACACCAGTTACTGATTGCGATGAGCTTCAGTACACTAAAATCTTGGGAGAGGTCAGCTGTTCTCTCTTACGGGATTGTTCTTCTGATGCATCTTTTCTGAGCTGGAGAAGGTGCAGTCTCACTTCTTTCTTGAATGTGTTTAGCACACTTCAGCTGCCTCTTACAGAGGAGTATCAGCGGTGGATTAATTTTCTGCTATCAAGTGAGCAACATCTGTCAGATTTTTACAATGAAATCATTGTAACTTGGGTAGTTCACTATGTCATAATTAATACCAACTTCTTTGTTTGTTCCTGTCTTGCCAAAATAGGTAAATGTTGTTCACAGTGTTCCCTGTCAGTAAAGAAATAATCTGGCATTTCATGAGTTAGAAAATCAGATCGAAAATGAAATTGACATCTACTGTCGTACCCAGTGCGACTGACTAGTCTGTGAACTATAGCATGCAAACTATTTAGTGATTCAAGCTGTCTGAACAGGTGATTACAGCCTCTTGATACAGCCACCATGTGTTCTGTCCACATCCTTCATGCATCACTGACAGTAGTGCTCTTGTGTCCATGAAGCTAAATCCTTGCACCAAGCTGTTTTTGCCTCTGTCTAGTACCTGGCAGAAAGAGTTAACTCTTCTGAAGACTTTTATTTCTAGGTTTATATGAAATCTGATTCTTTACTTGCCATTTTTTTTAAAAACTACAGATTGCCATAAAGCTTTTGCCTTAGTTGTACGGCCACCTACAGAGCAGAACAACAAACTACTCAGTTTCCAGATGACGACTGAAGAACCTCCCAAAGAAGACTGGTTGAAGACACTGTGTCGGCATGTGGCTAACACAATTTGTAAAGCAGATGCAGTAAGTGCTCTGGAGTCATATCATTGATTGAAAATGTTTTAAATACAGGGAGTTAAAGAACTGGTTAATAGCAGGCATGGTACAGAAATAGAGCAGAAAGCAGTTGCTGCAGCATGACTGCAACTCACTACTTAAAGTGGATTAGGAACAGAGGTTAATAGTTGTAATAATAAGATATCTGTGTAATAGGTAAATCTGTATCTATTCCCTCATGCCACAACACACTCAAAATCACATGCTGACAGATCATAACATGCTCTGCCAAATCCCATTAATTAAAATTTCTGTAGCTGCCGATTTGTAGCAGCTAGATCGTGCTTCTTCCCTACTGATTTAAATGTTAAATTAAACTTCAGTTAGAGCAGGCCTCTCTGTGCTCCCCAGTTTTTAGGCATCTTTCACTAATTCTCTTGCCATGCAAGAACTAGAGAGATTGGCTGCCTCACGGTGGCAGTAAAGGCTTTAATTCTACTGCTTTGTTCCGTGCTAGGAAGAACCTACATAGAGCTTGCACTCTCATAGGCTCATGATTTCCAAGCAATTTTTAAGGTGAACTATCTTTTCTTAAAATAAACCATAATAAAAAAATGCCCCCAGCAACCTCCTACCCCTATTGCTTCCTCTATTTTTCCCTCCTCTCCCTCTCTTGTGAATAGGTAGCCAGAGATTGCTTTGCATGTGCTGGAGTTTAAGAATGAGGCATGAGAAACTTGTGGGTATTCTGAAATGTGCTGGTATTAACCTGAAAGTTTTAGTTGTAATATTTGATAGCTGGGGCTATCGAGAATCCATTTTGAAGGAGTCAAAGGTGTGCTAGAGGGCTAAAGGGATATGTATGTTATGAAACCCCCTCAGGTACACTTCAGAGCTATTACCTTTATTTTAGTCAACACCGTGTTTGAAACTGAGTCAGACCAAACATAAAACTGATGGATGAAGTGTTTCCACAAACTGACTGCAGCTGTAGCTAATCTTGTGAAATGTCATGAAAGCAAATAGCTGCTTAACTGTATATTGGGAGTTAACAAGGGAAGAATATGACAATTAAGAACCTCTCAATTTGAGCTAATGAGCTAGAGAATGATATTTTGACAATAGTTGGTATTATTGTGGATGATTATTAAGGTGATCTTTGTGTATAGGAAAACCTCATTTATACGGTTGATCCTGATTCAATTGAAGTAAATACTAAAGATATGGACAGTACATTAAGCAGAGCATCCAGAGCAATAAAGAAAACATCAAAAAAGGTAAGATACTCCAAAGACTGTATTTCTCAGTAAAACCTGATGTAGTCAGAACTGTGCTAGTGTTCCTGTTCTAGGCCTAGGACTTATGGTAGTGACAAGATAAACTTAATCTGAGCTAAAACTTTAAGTATAAGCTTCTTAAAGAAATCAGGGGAGTGTTTGGGGTTTTGACTTAGTTTTGGGGTACATGCATATAGGCCTAAGTATTATGGTCACAAGTAACATATATATATATATAGATATAGTGTTATATATTATATATATGTGTATATATATATAGTTATTTCAGTCTGTTACAAAATTTATTTTCAGTTTAGTATTTCAAGCTTTTTAAATATAAAACTGACTTCAGCTCTGCTTTTGGCATACTGAATGAATTAAAATCTTAACACTAGTCACAATGACCTAATTCTAAATATTTTCAAACACTGATGTAGATGATGTATGACCTGGGTAATAAAATAAACATCTACCATGCTATAAAGAAAGTGCTGAATGTTGGTCTCTGGCTGCAGAAGTAACAGCTCCTTTGCATGAGGCTTTTTTGGTCAGATAGTCAAGACCAAGTACGTCCTATTTTGCTGAAAGGGTCTGCCTGGGGCTGTGGGAGGAAGGTTCCCTCTCTGCTCTGTCACCTTGGCCGTGCTGTGTCAGGTTCCCCTAAAGATTATGGATGTGTGGTGATCGAGTATGACATAGCAAGGAAGGAATCTGCTCCTCATCCTTGGCAGCTTTCCAGAAGGCTCTCTGTGTTCAAGATGATATTACTATTTCCTAGAGAAAACTGTAGAGGCTGCTATAGTCTGGAAGCTGCAGAAGACAACTGAGAGCAATCTAGTGGGGGGACATGACTTTGAAAAATCTAATCTTATTTTGACTTCTCAGAGTTTTATTTTTCCAAACATCTTCATATTTGGAAAGAAGTATGAAGAGAGAGAGGGGGATTCTTAAAGTTAGAACCCACAGGGTTCTCAATATGGTCATAGTAAGGAAGAGGGACTATGTGCTTCTGACTCGGGTCCTCTCCTCCAAATGTTAAATATATGGATAGTAGTCTAATGTGGTAGTTATTGTAGTCTGTGGGGTAGGTGTAATGTGACTCTTCTTTTTTTTGCTGTGTGTTGTTTTTTGTCCATGTATGACAATACTTGTCAAACTTCTCAGGTTACAAGAGCGTTTTCTTTCACCAAAACACCAAAAAGGGCTCTTCGAAGGGCTTTAATGACACACAGTACCATAGAAGGACGAAGTCCCTGCTCAACTAATGAGAGTTTCATGGGCAGCCGCCTGCCTAGTACCTCCTCACTAGCGGTAAGTGGTTTGGCTGCGCAGGCCAAGTAAGTAACCTTAAGATCATAATTTTTTTAATGTCTGATGCAGATCATATTCCAACACTCTTAAGATCCACTGTGAATTTTTTAGCTATGTTCATAGATGTGTCACTTTGAGCAGCATTTTTCAATGAGAGAATGTTTAACATTCTGAAAACTCAGAAAAATCTGTTATAAATACTAGAAAACAGGAGTTACCTAGTACAGTGGAGCTGGAATTTTTAGACATATCCTCTTTTGAGCGGGTGAGACATTCCCAACATGCAGTCCTAGAAGTCTTAAGGCAATGTACACAAATGTGCTGTACAAACTTAGAATGGTGTGGTGGAAATATCAATGGAAGGAGTGAGATGACACTAGGCAAACTGTGAAGAAAGGGTGGAAAATCTCCTCAAAATATTTTTAAGAATAATCTTCAAAAATGCAAGTGAATTAGCCTCTACATGAATTTAGGAAAATCTAGTTAAAAAAAAAAAAAAAAAGTACATAATGCAATGCTACCCATTGCAGCTCTTCTCTGCCATTTCCTAGCGCAGACTAGCATAGCAACTAGATCTGTAGGGATTTTTTTCATCATCTTTCCTTTCACTCCTACTATTTGAGTAAATAGTATGCTGAGTAAACATATATTCTTAAGCCCAAGTTTGTAGGACATCTTGCTCTCGGGCCTTTATCCTGTGTATTTTTCTCTAACTGCCTAACATGTCAGTACCTTAACACAGAAATGATTCGGTGTGCTTGAGTTGCTATTTATTAGATTTGTGCAACATCAAGATATTGCCCTGGTCTCCCACTTGAGGTAGGCCTACAGGGATAGGAATTAATAAGAGGGGGCGAGAGAAGTATCACAATAAATCCCTTGGCTTTAAAGGGGCAGGGAGGGGAACAAACAGTGTGAGGGGTTATAACCCGATTCTGTCTTGAGGTTTTCTTTCTTCAATTAAAGTTCACTCTGCAATTTTTATTTTATTTTTTTATGAACCACACTATTCTGTCTTCATTTTGATACAGCAGCGGCTCTGTATCTCAGGAAAATGTCAGCTATACCTTTCTTCCCGCCCCCTGTAATGATGAGTACTTGGAGCTGGTAGTAAAGACTGTTTTTTTTCCACTGAGTTTCACAAATTCTTCCTAGAGGACCCCCTATAGCTTAGCAGCAGGGTGTGTATTGATAGGGGCTCTGTGTGTGGTGGTGTGGGTGGGCTTTTTGTTTTTGTTTCCTCTCTGAGGTTACGGTTCCACTCTACTGAGCTTGCATTAAAGTCTCTTTTGATCGAATCTTAAGATAGGGTCAGAGCAGAAACATTTAAAAAAAACTGCAGTTTTACACATTATGTACAGGCTATTATAATGTATAATAAACAAGAAATGGGAATGGGTTCAAGATGCAAGTGTAATAAGCATGTATATTAACTTTCAAGGAGGGGGGAAAAAGTGAGGGTTGGATTTCAGCCCCTCAAGCTGGGGAATTAATTCCACCTTAGACTTGCAAGAAAGCTGTCTGAGTCCATTGAGAGACAAAGTTGATATTGAGCAGAGCAATTTGTCTGAATAATATTCTGGCACAGCAGTTATGGAGTGTGTTACACCCACCTCAGTGTGGAAAAACTATAGAGCAAAAATTTTGATTGACCATAAGTGTCCAGGTTGATTCTTTGCTTAGATCAACTATTGTACATCTTTGTAATCACAGATTGTTTTTCATCTTCTACATACAGCCTAAATGGATCTGTCGAGTGTCTGGTTAATGTTCGGTGTTCCAATCCTCTCCCAATCTCTGCAAATATCTGTGTTCCAATTGCTGTAGGAAGCAAAGGGGAAAATGGACCAAAAAAAACCCTCTCCCAGCTTGGAAAGCTTGAATGGTCTTGCCTTTGACAGATTATGTCCTACTCCTGTTATGACTACCACTTGTGGTGATGCAAGAGATGATGATCAATTTGCTGAAAAATGCCACATACCAAATTCCAACCATTCATGTCCAGGTTGCATGAACATACAACAGTCTGAGTAGCATAAACAAAGACAAAATAGTATAATTATTTAAAAAAAAAATAGAATCAACAATGTGTCACTGGGGTTGGATTTTTCCTTTGACTTGTTCTAATGCACTTTCTCTTCTGTGTGAGTTTTTTTTAATATATATATATATATATATATATATATATATTTTACACTGAACTGAAACGAAGTAATTCAAAGTATGGTGGTGGTTTCTGTGTCCAAGCTGCAGAACTCACTGGCCTGAGTTCTCAGAACTTCAACGTCTCAATTGTTGGGTGATCTTGAGCAATGAGTTTCACCTGTGTCTTAACTTTGTGCTCTTCTCTCTGTAAAGGGAAAAAAAGAAAAAAACGTTCTATGCAGTACTTGAGAGTTTGAGAGCTGCTATGTATACAGAAGTCTAAGGCTCACTGGCCTGAGTTCTCAGAACTTCAGTGTCAGTTGTTGGGTGATCTTGAGCAAGGAGTTTCACCCATGTCTTAGCTTTGTGCTCTCTTCTGTAGAGGGGAAAAAAAGTTCTATGCAGTACTTGAGAGTTTAATGAGAGCTGCTATGTATACAGAAGTTTAAGATTTAACTGAAATATTGTCTAATGACTGCAAATAAGATATGTCATAAACAGATATTGGACTGCACAATGAAAAAACATGCTCAGAATATCCCCGTTTACCAGGTTCTTCAAGCATGCGGGTGCCCTGAGCTATATAACTGCCATGGCCTGTTGATACTTCAAAAACCTTGGCTGTGGCATAAGGAGCAGCACAAGGCTGTGTGTTGAGTACTTGAAGGACTCGCACAAAATGGCTAAAAAAATTTGAGTTGGTTGCAAGAGGTTAATGTTTAATGCTTCACACTGATGCATTAGTTTCACTGTAATTACAAGTCCCAGGAGCAGCCCATGCTCCTAGCATTAGAGGAGTCAGCCTCTTGCCTAGTTTCCTAGCCTAGATAGGCTCAACTAAAGCTTTTGACAGGTTGTTGTGATACGGTCTACTGCTTTCTGTTGCCAAGAAGACATGTGCTCAGCATCTAATTTGGGGCTCAAATCTGGTAAGAATACAGGAACTTGCAGGATCTGAGGGGAGCTCTGTTTCTCTAAGAAACTACTGTAACATTTCTTTCTTTAAATGTGGAAGGAGACTGTTACTACAGGAATAATGCAAGACGTGCATTAGAATTTGTTAACAGCTATTTTTCAAAATGCTTTCTGCATCTTTCAACAGGCTGATCATGAGGAAAATCTTTAAAGAGTTTCAGTCTAAGCATTCCACTGCTATTCAAAAATGATAAATCATTAATTATAAAATTGCCCCTCTTAATTCTCTCCTGCTATGTTCCTTATACCATGCTTCAAACACAAGGGATGACTGTTGTGCTATTGACACTGAATATATAACCCAATAACTTTTTTTTTCTTTCTCCAACAGGCTGTTCCTTCTCCTTCCTTGGTCAGCCTTCCTTCCATCTTTGAAAAAAGGAGTCACACATTAAGTCGATCAACAACCCACTTGATATGAAACAGTTTTAAAATACAATGTCATATTGTAGTGACCAACAAGCAGCTGGCTGTTCAAATGACCTGTTACTGACATTAATGGTACCTTAGTCATTAGCACTTAGCAGTAATTAGCAAAATGTTAGTGAACACTAAGTTAATCACAAGAGGTTTTTAGTTGTATTGAAGCAGATCAGCTAATCAGTGGAACAAGCAACTTTGTCTTTAAGACATTTGCACAAATCTTTTTCTCTCACCAGCATAATGGAAGCATCCTCTTTTATTTAAAAAGTGTCCCCTCTAGGCAATGAACTAGTTTGTCAGATTTTGAAATGAAGATGATGATTGTGTAACGTACCACTGTCAAGCATGACTCTTATGCTTCACCAATTGGCTGAGCTATCTAAACCAATACCTGAGCTGTTAACCACTGTCAAGCATGACTCTTATGCTTGCCTTACTTCACCAATTGGCTGAGCGATCTAAACCAATACCTGAGCTGTTGATGTCTTCAGTGGAGATGTGTTATGAAGTACCTGACCTTTTAAGTATGACAGTTGACCTGTTGTACAGCTGCTTATTCCAGATATTTTGTAAATGTGGCTGTTTATAAAGAAATAGATTCTTATTTTACTGACTCCATTATGGTCTTCTGCAGTCTCACTGTGTTCCAGTGATAAGTTATGTAGGTTTATCTGAACAGTAATTTTAAAGGCCAGGACTTGCTTTGAGTACCCAAGGTGATTCAGGACAATTCAACTCTTTGAAGTGGAAGTCTGAGGAAAAATAATTATGCTCTGTGGTGTGTGTTTGTGTCTGTTCTGTTTTATTTTTCCCCTTCTCTAAACAGCCATAACTAAGAGAAACTGCCAAATACTTAGCTAACAGTTTGTTGTGTAATACATGAGATGATGGTGTGGAGGTGAAACTCGAGGGCCTGGTTTTGGTGTGCTAAGCTTTAGGTGTAGCACTACTAAGGCTTTACCCAAGTTGCTTAGACAGCAGTGTCTTCATTCACACCAATCTGTTTTTTCATCTTTTTTCAACAACTGCTCTGATCCAACACCATCTCAGGAACCATCTAAATATGTATATTTCTGCATTTCATTAACAGTTTAACTGTCTGCTTGTATTAGGAGTTCTCAACTTCTGTTCCTTTTTTTTTCTTACTTTTTTAAACCACCACAATGTTGTCTATGTAATTAGTGATGCTTCCCAGCGTGTCATATTTTGTCTGTTAACTGTTTTTTATATAGCTTTTTTGCCAATCCTATCAATGTAAATAAACTGTTTAAAATAACTCTGCTTATGGTTTTGCTAAACAGACTTAAGAGTCCACTTTTTGAGCATAAAAATATTGTCTTGGACTCTAGCCTGCAACTATATTCTGGCTAGTCATATAGCTATAGCTCATAATATATAACCTAGCAGATGCCATCTGCCACAACTGACCAGTGTCACTGACTCTTATTCTTTTTATATGTGCATCATTCTCCTCCCCTTAGCCTCATGTATCCAAAAATATGGATCCATGGAGCAAGGTGGTTTGTTTTTTTTGGTCCCTATCCACTTGAAGCAAGCATCTAAGTTTATATACATGCTGAAGTTTATCCAATAAGGAAACATCCAGTGGCTGTAGAAAAGAAATGATTTAATAAATATTATGCTGAAAAATCAACTATGCTTGGATTTTTTTTTTTTTTTTTGAATCTGGTAAACTTTGCCCATTAAGCAGTTTCTTTTCTCTAATTCAATTTTTTTTTTCAAGCTTCTATTTAATTACTAATACCTTTTTGCATAGCCTAAGTACAGATGCATTCACTTTTGGCATAAGTTTTAAGTGACTCTCTGTGCTGCAACACCACTGCTGCACTATAACACTACATTTATTTAGTGTGGGAATGGAGGAAACGGTGCTGCTGTTAGTCTACTGAAACATAGACCTAACTGAAGCTGCTGCAATGCCTGCTCCTTTCAAAATAAGGATAAAATGCTATAATGAGATTTGAACTGGTTCAGTGTACCCGCCACTAGCTGCATAACCTCACACTGAACTGAGACTTTGGGGAAGAAGGGCAAGGAAAGGGGGTGGATAGCAAGCCTTGCACCTTGTTTATAGTACAGGCGCCTTCCTTGGGTAAAAGCAGCTTAAAGGTTATTAAACATTTAGAACTGGAAGTAAGTTTTAGCTACCTTTTAGGAGGAAAAAAAATACTTGTTTGTGAAGTAACATTCCTCTACTCCTCTTGCTCTAAAATTACATAGGCTGAAACTTGCTACTAAAAAGTGTTCTCTCTGGATTATACAGGGGAAGATAGATTGTGATTTATGGAAGGACCTTTTATGAATCTGTGTGTCTGTCATAACAAATGAAAGCTGAAAACTTGAACTACACCGTCTCCCTTCACTGCACTACTTGTGCCACCTCTCCAGGCAAGCATAGCATAGTGTGAGCCTGTCATTATTTCTCTGCTCCCCTCTGGTTTCCAAATTATTCCTATTTATCTTCTATCTTAAGTTCATTTGCACTCAAAACTAATCTAACTTCTAGTTACCACTACGGGGCAGTGTCTGTTGTTGCTTGATGAAGGGCAGGTGGTGGTTCAGAGGGTTGAAGCCTGAAGTTCTTCATTTATTGCCTGTCATTTCCTAAAGGAGAAACTAGTTCCTTCAGGCTTGCTAACTTCTAAAGAAAGAGAAGATCAAGGAAGACTGTCTGCCTCCTAAGCAGCTCCACGCTCTTCTCCCTTCAAATTACGTTGTTATCTTAACCTGTTGGTTTTGATTTGAGATGACTTTATTTTTATTAAAAAGCAGCTCCACAAGGAAAGCTGAGTTAGGGCTAAGATAAGATGCCAACTGTGTCTCCTTATCATCATTAAATGATGTGATTTAAAGCAGCTGATGTATTCATTATCTCTGGGTACTACTTTTGGACTGTACTCCAAAGTGCTGTACTTTAGCAGCAGTTAATTGAAGGCCTGTTTGGTCCCACACACCGTGGCAGTTACTCTCACCAATGTATCAGGATTGTGCTGAAAACCCTTATCTACTATTCTGGTACTGTAAGAGGACTAGAACTTTTTAGTGAGATAGAGAAGTGAAAATATTTAGTGAGATTTCAAAATAAGCTGGTAAGTAATACTTTATATAGGTTTTGTTGATTTGATGGCTTGTTCTCAATTTAATTTCCTATAGCAATGTTAACAGCTTTTGGATACTGGCGACAAGAATTATAATGTGACCTGATTTTAGTCAGGCTTCGTCTTGTATGACACTATGCAAGATTTTAGCGGTGATGGAACTACTAGTGGGTGAATAAAACCTAACTGATCTTTCTACCCATTAGATAGTAAATCTTATTAGTCTCCACTGTGGTTATATTGAGCAGAGCTCCGTGGGGGTCTGTTCAGTGCTCCTATTGACTAAGTGGATAACGAAGTAGAGAGGGGGCTTATTAATTTTAGAGCTGTCACAAAGCTGCAAGAAACTTTGAGCCCTTGACAGAACAGGATTAGAATTAGCAGTGAGGTTTCTAGGTTAGGGAAGCACAGAGAGTAACGGAAACAAGAAAAAAAGTTTTACAGGTGAGAGGTTTTTTCTCCCCTATCTTTTCCATTTTCAATATATGCACATGTAGCATTAAAGCCAATATGTATTTTTGTGAGTTCATTTGGTTTTAAAGGTTAGATGGGCCTGGCTTCCCAAACCATGGTTTTAAGTAATACTACGCTTACTCTTTAGTCTCTACGGGCTGCCCTCTTGAGCAACAGTAGCCACCTATTTCTGTAAAGCACCTCGCTTCGATCACATTATGGACTATTTGAAAGTCTGGAAAATGTTTTGAAACTTTAATTCAGTTCAGAGGTCTTTAATTCCATTGAATTAAGTTGACTTCTTAAGTCTTTATGTTAAGTTTTCTAGCATCCAAAACTAGAGGAGCTGCTCTGCACCTCATTAAGGATCAGGCCTTTGGTCAGTGGGAATGGGAAAATTTCTTGGAATAGATATGTTACGGACCTGTTTTCATGGAGAATGTGTAGTTTGTGTTTAGGGATGCGCTTAGACATTTAGAGAAAACTGGATCATGTTGTCAACCTACCTTTGTTATGAGTTAAAACAGGTTATAGTGTTCAGAGGCCTATTCATATTGCAGAGTATTGCTAGTGAGTAGTAGTTTGGAGTGGGCAGGTAACTTACCCTAAAGTTGAGCTTGGACAGGATGATATATGAGGAAGCTGTGGTTTATTTCTTTGCTTCTCCAGTATCTACCACTGAGACACTAGAAAAGCAGGAAACTGCGTGAGAGCCCACAGAAATCTGGAACACAGGTGAGAGTTGAACTCTTCTCCTTTTGTCATTTATCTGAACCAGGTGAACTTCTTAGTCCAAGCCTGGTCTTACATAGTCCGGTCATTCATAAAACCTATACCTACAACTCCCAAACGTTTACTCCCTGCAAGCATTTAAAGCATTTACAAACTGAAATGATTAATCTTTTATAGGTTTTTGTTCAAAGACAAGCAGTGGAGAGATTACAGCTGCCTGCTTGTGAATCTGCTGTGGGTTCAACAGGACGGCTTGACCTGTATTTTGCTGTAAAACAGTTGCTGTTTCAAAAATAGGAACGGCAAACTCTGCTGTGAGATGGATGTTTACAACTTCTGAAAGCCAGCCATCAGAGACAAAGCGGGCTGCTGGAAAGCGTTTTAAAAACACAAAAGCTGTTGAGAGGTAAAAATGTTGGCTGAATGGTCCCTGCAGCTGATGTTGGAGGGGTTAAGGCAAACCATGCCCTGTTCCTTGCCTTCAGACCGATTTTAAGCACATAGTCAAAAACCTTCTCTCCTCCCCTCGAAGCAAAAGCCAAAATGGAAATGAGAAGGCCAGGAAAACAAGTGAAATAGATTTAATTCTGTCGGACATTAGGCAAACAAAAGTCATTTTTAGACCAGAACATTACCACTATTTAGGGCTGAATTTCCATCTGGCACAGAGTATTCCATCAGCCTCCGTACAAATGCAGCCGCGCATTTGTTTGCCTAATTTAGGCAGTTAGGAGTACAATTACTGCTCTACCTGCAACCTGTAATTAGTTCAAGCTGTCTCAGTGCCTTTATCGGGCGATCCAAACACTGACTCACTAAATGCAGAATCTCACTGGAGCAGGAGCTACTCTCTAATGTTGAAGAAAGTAATGAG